CAAATATTGTAAAGCGAGTTCTTGAATCAAAACTAAGGACAAGTGATGATACACATACACTATTTACTAAAAACACTTTGAGAGAAAAATATAAATGAAGCACAACCAATAAAAAAAGTAGGTGACAATGATATCAAATTGATTTTCAATACAATTTCTCGTTTTGCAATATAGACAAAAAGACTAACATGTACATCACATTTACCTTCAAAATATCGTTTCTTACAAAGCAGAACAGAAAAAGATAATCCTTTGGTCAGTTAAGGGTAGATTGACTGTTCAGATCTATTTTCATCAAGTTCGCAGTTAGGAGCTGAAACGCTAATTTTGAAGAGGACAAAAGTAATTGAAAGGCGCGTACCTCTTTTTCTCCATCTACATTCATCGAGTTATAGACATTTGTAAAAATCGGAAAAGACGAACTCAAAACTTTCAAAACACGTTTTTGTGAATTTTGTCTACCATTTCACACCACGAGGATTACTTTTTGAGACGCCAACCATGTTTGACAAAAGTGTTCCTAATAAATCAAGGCCTTGGCCTTTTCTTGGCCGACTTATAAACATTCTACAAAAAATTCCGCTTGTCTAGCGCTGATAGTACAAAAGCGCATAATACGAATACTACGGTCCCGGGAATGTAACGCTTATGATTCACCCCAATTGCTCTCATTGAGAATCTTCACCAGTTTATGATTTCGCACACATTCGCGGTTTTCTTTTTAAGTTATAGCTCCTGAACCATGGTAAACCTTATATAAAAGCCTAGATTCAGGAAATCATAATAAAAGGAAAAACGAAAATTTCTTTTTTTATGATTCATTCGGTTCATAACTGAGTACTACCACAAAAATGAATTCTCTTAACGGCAGTAATTATTGTTACCTGTTCCCATAGAGAAGATGATATACAAGTGCTAATTTCAATGGCACGATATCCTAATGCCTGTCGACATCAAAACAATACTGAGCAATACGATAATTTAAAAGAGAAAGAGAGAAATGTATATATTTACCAAAAATAGAAAAGAGTATTAACTTTTTTACTAAAAATTTTATTTTCATGGCTTCATAAATAAAAAGAAGAAGAATGTGAAATAAAATGGTCCGTACACTATCGATACCAGAATAATTGCATAAACGGTTCTCGGGTCAGAAGAGAATATGAATTCGAGAACCGAAAATGAAACACCCAAAGCTAGATTTGTTCAGAAACTTCCTTCCCAACCTATACTAAGCAAACATCAGATCCAGTGTACAGACTATTTTATTTCACACTTTTCTTTTTATTTATGAAAAATAGGGCATGAGAATGAAATTTTTAGTAAAAAAGTTAATATTCTTTCCTTTCTTTGGTAAATATATACATTTCACTCCTTCTCGGTTAATGTACCGTAGAGCACAGTATTGTTTTGATGTCGGATATAAATGATGGAAGAATAGGAAGAGAAAGAACAAAATGTAAAATAATTATAATAATTTTTAAAAGTAACATATACAACTGCCAACTATTGTGTATGCACTGAGAATTAGTTTCTTCAATATGTGTTCTACTTTGGATTCAAATAAACAATCAAAGGTTAACATGGAAAACTTGTTTTATTAATAATTTATTTATGAAAAATAAAGCCATGGAAATGAAATTTTTAGTAGAAAAGTTAATACTCTTTTCTTTCTTGGGTAAATATATACATTTCTCTCTTTCTCTTTTAAAGTATCGTATTGTTCATTATTGTTTTGATGTCGACAGACATTAGAAGATCTCACTAAAGTAGTAGTCACACACAAACACGGACAAAACGTTTTTAGATGTTACATCAACATAGTTTTCATAGGAAAAATGATTTTCTGTACGATTTTCTGACATTTCTCTGCAGAATCGACCATATAACACATACAATCAGATTTATTATCAGCATCGAAAGTTACGTATAGCCGAATACTTTTTCTGGCTATGAAGTAGAGTCCTATGAGAACTCACAAATAAACTGTAAAAGAAAATGTGTTACTAAATGTGTAAAATGGCCCAAACGTTCGCTCGAAAGCGAATAACAAAAACAGTGGAAAAAAACCGTTACTACATGTGAGATTCGAACAACCGATCGATGAATCTGTGGCATTTTCAGCACAGACTGTTTACATAACGAGATTATATCACTGATCTCAGTGTGTAAAGCTGGATGGTCAGTGTGCATTTTACACACATAAGCCATGCATTCTAGACGGTCACTGAGAATCCATAGGCGTTCACTTTCAAGGTGTAATTCACACACTTTTTCTTAACAGTGCATGTGCTGCATTTTCCATGAAACTTTGAATACCTATACTGTGATCCAAAAAGGTATTTCTCCATTGTTATGCTTAATTTTTTTTACTTTAGTAATAATATCTAGAACAAATATGAAAAAAGATTTAAACACCTAAAAGAATTTCAAAGATATGGGGTATGTAAACGTTTCATCGAAATTTCTGAAGTTAGAGTCTTTGGAAAACCAAAATCTCAGAATAACGCTTCCTCAAATTCATCGTATAGAGCAATTTCTAAGAAAAAAATAAGAGATCCCTGAACTTTATTTTATTTGATTTAAGCTTTATTTAAATATGAAAAAGTAAAACGTAAACAAAAGTCGTTATCACTCTAACGTAGAAGCGGCGTAGCCATTATATCACTGTTAGAAATGATGAAAGTCGTGAGACATAGAACAACATTCGAGCTAAAAGGAAAAGAGTAAACATATTTGGGTAGTCAGAGAAAGAAAAGGAAAAAATAAAAAGTAAAAGGTAGACTAGGGAGCACAAGTTTGTTGGTTTTCCTGGCTTAATCATTTTCAAGACCCTCAGAGCGTTGAGAATCGATAATATATCCAATCATGGGCTTAGCAACAAGTAAATACGTATCTTTATCAAGCGATGCATTCAAGCATAGTAGATCCATGTACGGAGGGGCTGCCGTTCAGTATCGGTTTAAGTTCCTTATAGAGACGCTTTCTATATCGTGTGTAACAAGTAAGGTGCACCTAAAGCAGAATTCAAGTGAAATTTTTTTTGGGCTTAAAGATATATTCTGATTCGCCTCGACGAGCTGAACGTGGTGAGCACCCTCCGAGTTAAAAAAAATTGCCTTTTGAGGGCAGTAGGTTCTGATTTGTGAACATCTGCAATTTAAATAATATATCTAGATGTATATCTGGATGTTCAGATATTCAGATAGTCTGATATTCAAATTAGATATTTAGATATTCAAATGTTATGGAAATGGGGAAAAGGGAAGGTGGGGGCGGCAAGGGAAGATGAGAGTGAGGCGCTTCCTGATATTCGCCACCGCGAAAGAAAAGAGGAAGATATCTGAATATCTGAACATCTAGATATTATGTAAATTGCAGATGTTCACAAATCAGTCCGGTCTCTTTGAGGGAGAAAAATGCAAATTACTGTGAGGAGGTCGAAAAGGGCAAAAATCTTAGTTTACAGAAAATAACGATTTTTTCCGTCTCCTTCCACTTTCGGTTATTTTCTTTGTTATTTTCGAATTCCTCATCAGAAACTGAGCCAGGAAAAGTATTTTTCGAAATATTTTGACGAAAACTAGAATTTTGGTAAGCGAAAAATCCAGCACGTCCAAAAATCGAGGCATGCTCGCCAAAAAAGCTTCAACTCAGTTTGTAATGATTTTAACCTCTAAAACTATACACCATTAGATTCGCCGCTCTCTAAGCTACAAAGTTATATATCGAGTGAAAGAAAAAAAAAATTCTGTGGTCAAAGTTTTTTGCTTTACTGGGAGACATCGAAATTCTGACCCTAATTCGTGATTTTCTCAATTAGAACTCAACTTTCACGCAATGAAAATATCATATTCAGGATCAGCGTCGAAAATCGAGTCGAATGATATACTTTTTTTATCTTATTCGATCACTTTAAGTTTTTTTGAATTTTCACGTCGAAGGAAGAACTGAGATTTACATCCAAAACTTAAAGTGATCGAATAAGATAAAAAAGTATATCATTCGACTCGATTTTCGACGCTGATCCTGAATATGATATTTTCATCGAGTGAAAGTTGAGTTCTAATTGAGAAAATCACGAATTAGGGTCAGAATTTCGATGTCTCCCAGTAAAGCAAAAAACTTTGACCACAGAATTTTTTTTTTCTTTCACTCAATTTAGTGTTTGATAAATTTTTTGTAAATAGATCAAAATTTAATTGAGAAAATTCTGTTCTCAGCTGGTAATAAATAATATCAGCTTTACGTGGAGTATGATATGTTCGATGGACGGGTGAGTGTGAATTATTATACAGTTCGACTTTTAGAGATTTAAGAAAAAGGGAGAGATTTTGCGATTCTTTTATATCGTGTTTTAAATTATCCCATTCCAAGATCGTCGCCGGGAAAAACTCTTTTCATAAATATGCCGTTGGGTGTATATGTGTTGTAACGGGCGTCCGATAAAGAATGACCTCAATATCTTTTTGGATTCTTATCCTTTCGGGCTGAATTTTGTTTTAAAAGGTTCAGTTTTCAATTCTCTACAAAACTATCTGGTTTTATTAACGTAAATAACAGAAATCATTTGTTGACAAACGATTTGTCCAACTGTTACAACTTTCAAATACAACTTCTTCTCGAATGTTTTTTTACTGCACGTTTTAGTTTTTGAATTAGGGTTGCTTTTGATTTTACTTTGTCCCAACTAATAACGTGAACAAATTCATCCTAAATGGAACAGTCCAAAGGGTTCAAAGCCGGACTATTTGGGGGCCAATGATCCTTATCTATAAACGCAGGAAAATTGTCTTTGTACCATTGTTAAGTTAAACGTGTGTGTGTGGCCTTGCTCCATCTTGTTGAAATATCCAATCATCGCCAAACACTTGATTTTCGTATTTAAGAGCCACGGGCAGCACTTCTTGAATATACCGAGCATGCTTTACCGTGCCTTTGTCCAAAATTACCAATGGTATTACACCTTTTGAACACACTCCCAACCAAACCATTATTTTTTATGGAAACTGTCGCTTCTGGTTTGTATCATCCTTTTTATCAGCTTCAGCACGATCAACTGCCCATACCCGATCATTTTGAGCATTGTATACACCATCAATATCGAACATTTTCTCGTCCGAAAAAAGAATTCGCATTGTTTCTTCTTTTCGAAAATTTGTTCGTATCCAATTTGCAAACTTTTGCCTTTTGATCTTATGATCATCCGTGAGTAATGGTTCGACTTGTTTTTGGACAGTTTTCGAATTGATACTCTTTTCTTGCGCTTTAATCGACTTCTCACTTTTTGAATGTTTCCTTTTGTTCGAGCAATACGTGGGTGACCAGGTGAATATGATGGTTCGACAGAGTCAGTCTCGACGATCATTTTGTACTATCGTTTAACTGTTTTGAGACTAATGGCACCGTTTAAATCACAAAATTTTTTTTTATTTTTATAACGTGTGGACCACTGATGTGTTAGTTTTGCTGGTACCAATTAATTTGATAGGAAGGAACGAGTCCTTCCATTACTTTATAAAATAAGATTAGCTTATGTTGCAAAAATAAATTTTCTCGCGGTATCCAATCTAGACATTTTAAGATTTTATCTTTATGTGTCAATCTCAATGCTCCACTAACAATTAACCTAGCTTGATATTGTAAAGCGAACAACTCAGTTAACCCTTTACACCCGCCGGTCCCTTCCAAGGGACGTTGATATAATAGATTTTTAAAAAGAACGGATCATCAGCCAAAAGGTTAGATTATTACTAATGTAAGACAATAGAGTAGCTTAACGTTTGATTGAAATAAGAAAGAAAAATTTCCATCTTAATCCGATATTTTTGAATTTTAAAATTGAATGAAGTTCAGAAATGAACTTTT